ACTGTAAAATGGGCTAAGAACACCCATGTTCTAGAAGGTGAAGATTCTGGACTTTATAACAGAAGCATGGAGTGGCCCACAAACTGCACCCGATCCCCTGCCCGGAAAGTGGGGGTGTAAGGCTGGGCATGGTGGCTCAAGCCTTAATCCCCGCACTTTGGGAGGGCCGAGGCGGGTGGATCATGAGGTCAAGAAATCGAGACCATCATGGTCAACATGGTGAAACTCGTTTCTACTAAAAATACAAAAAATTAGATGGGCATGGTGGCACTGTGCCTGTAATCCCAGCTACTCAGGAGGCTGAGGCAGGAGAATTGCCTGAAGCCCAGGAGGCGGACGTTGCGGTGAGCTGAGATCACGCCATTGCACTCTAGCCTGGGTAACAAGAGTGAAACTCTGTCTCCAAAAAAAAAAAAAAAAAAAAGTGGGGGTGGCCCGACGCCCTCCTAGCTCCCCCTCCCCCCGCTGCCCCCAACTCTGCGTCCTGAGGTTGCCTTTTAGTTCCTCTGCTGTTTCATGAATCCCCTTTTCCCTCCATCTGTACAGGGACACGGCCAGCCAGGCCCCAACTCTACACAAGGACCCTTAGACTGGGGGAAAATGGAACCTTGCTGGGGTGGGGCCGTGGGGGTTGCCTCCTGAGCAAAGGCCTCGACTCTGAAGCTGCCACCACCACCCCCAGTCACCGTTTCTGGAGCCCGTGTCCTGCAGTGACTCAGGGAAGGCAGTCTACCTGCTGCTTGGATGAAAACGCTCCGGCTGGTCTTTACCCCAGTCCCAGCCCTCTGCCTGCCTCACTGCAGACCTCTGGGGACTGGGGTGAGTCTCGCAGGTGGGAGGGGCTGGCTACTGAGTCCAGACTTCATTCTTGGGCCAAGCTGGTCCCAACTTCACCAAGAGGACCCCAGGCAGCCCCTCTGGACCGCAGACCAATGTTGGCAAGGCCTTCCTGACAGCAGCCCTCACCTTGGCCTTCCCCAGCTGTTCGTATCAAGTGCAACTCCCCAACAGACAATTGAGGCCCCCTTGGCCTTGCCCTGTCTCCCAGTCCAGCACCCCTACCTAAGTGTGGCATCAAAGCTCCCTCTGTCCCTCCTGGGACCTGGACCCACCAGAAAACCCATGGGCATGCTATCCCACCTCTGCATCAAACAGGCCTTGAGGCCAGACATGGTGGCTTGTGCCTATAATCCCAGCACTTTGGGAGGCTGAGGCAGGCAGATCACCTGAGGTCAGAAGTTTGAGACCAGCCTGGCCAACATGGTGAAAACCCCATCTCTACTAAATACACACACACACAGACACAGAATTAGCTGGTGGATGCCTGTAATCCCAGCTACTTAGGAGGCTAAGGCAGGAGACTCACTTGAACCTGGGAGTTGCAGTAGGCCAAGATTGCGCTATTGCACTCCAGCCTGGGCAATAAGCAAAACTCTGTCTCAAAACAAACAAACAAAACCAAAAAATGGGCCTTGGATGAGGGGAGCAACCCCTTCTGCACTGTGGAGAAAGGCCCTGAGTTCTGAGCTCTGCAGCCACCGGATGTGGGCTTGAGTCCCAGCAGGCTGTCCTAACTCTAGGCAGGTCTTTGTACCTCTCTGAACCTCAGTTTTCAAATCTGGAAAATGGGGACAATGATCAAGCCCGTTTCAAAGGATCGGATCTGAGGACTCAACCACATGATGCCTGGGGTATGAGCAGCCCCAGGGCTGTCCAGAGACAGGCTCCCCTACCCAAGGCTATCACCCACCAGCACAGGGAAGCCCATGAGGCAGTCGTAGATGAAGACTATGGTGGTCACGAGGCCCGTGATCTGCAGGGAGGTTCTGGCGGGCTCCGAGCCGTCGATGGAGGAGCGACGCTTGCCCTGCGCATCCTCCACTATGATGGTGGGTACGGTGAAGGCGCGGCGGTCGGCCCGGCGCCCCACCTGCACGGCCAGCGTCTGGAAGAGGGCGATGGCTGTGCAGACCACGCCCATGGCCACACTGCCACCCACCAGCAGCAGGAAGCAGACGCCGAAGCCCAGGCCGATCTCAGCCACGATGAAGCGGCAACCATGGGTGTAGAAGCGTTCACTGGTGTCATGCCAGCCAACAGCGGGCAGGGCCGACAGGATGAAGGACACCATCCAGATGCCCATGACTGTGTGCACCGCCTGCTTCTTGGCATTGCTCAGCCTGGCACGGGGCAGGGTGGAACAGAGGGAACTGGCGTCACCCACAGGGGCTTCCCAGGCCTCTGTGGACCTGTAGAGGATCCTGATCGCCCAGGCACACCATGCCCCCAGCATGTCATAGTTGTGGCACAGCCAGTGTGGGGGGGCCTTGTCCCTGCATAGGAGCTACTGCGAACCCTGTCACACGTCCCTCTCCCAAGCATTCTGTATTGGCTGCAAAGCTACATGTGTGTGCCCCCAGCAGCCGAAAGCTGCCCCTCCTGAGCCTCCCTGCCCTCCCAGCGTGTTCAGGTGTGGCCACTCCTGTACACACGTGGGCACACTCGATATGTCCTGGAACCTCAAGAACCCCAGAGCTTCACGTGCTCACCGGTAGTTGACAGGCCAGCAGACCATCCACATGCGGTGGTAGGAGAGGGAGGTGACGGAGAAGCAGGTGGCCAGGGTGAGGGTGTAGAACGTGGACACGAAGACCTTGCAGAGCCCCTCATTCCACTCAAAGTCGGGGTGCTGCCGCCGCAGCTGCACCACAGAGTAGGTGGCAATGGGCACGGCCACGTTAAGCATGTGGGTGGCCGAGAGCGTGCACAGCAGGAACTCCAGGGGCTTCCACTTCTTCTGCTTGGCACCAATGCTGAGGATGCCCCAGGCGTTGGCCAGCAGGGAGAGGCCCCCGCATGCCAGCCAGCCCACTGCACTGCCAGGAAGCTGCCGCTCATCACTCATGGTGCAGACCGGAGCTGGCAGGCGGCTGAGGCATCCTCCTTGGAGCCAGGCCTCGGGGAGTAGCCACCCTCACTCCTGGCAGCTCAGGGATGCTGGGGACCACGAACATCTGTGGGGTGGCAATGGGCACTCAGTGACTCCCGCTCTGGCGACAGCACTGAAGCCCTTGGGTACTTGGGATAGGAGATGGTGAGTGCTACACCTTGAATGTCCCCTGAAAAACTCAAGTTCAAATTTAATTAAAACTCATGTTGAAACTTAATTGCCATTCCAATAGTATTAAGAGGTAGGACAATTTTTTTTTTTTTTTTTTTTTGAGACGGGGTCTTGCTTTGTCACCCAGGCTGGAGTACAGTGGTGCAATCTCAGCTAACTGCAACCTCTGCCTCTGTTCACCTGCCTCGGCCTCCCCAGTAGCTGGGATTATAGGCGTATGCTACTACACCCAGCTAATTTCTGTTTTGTTTGTTTGTTTGTTTGTTTGTTTGTTTTCTGAGACGGAGTTTCGCTCTTGTTACCCAGGCTGGAGTGCAATGGCACGATCTCAGCTCACCGCAACCTCCACCTCCTGGGTTCAGGCAATTCTCCTGCCTCAGCCTCCCGAGTAGCTGGGATTATAGGCACGGGCCACCATGCCTGGCTAATTTTTTTGTATTTTTAGTAGAGACAGGGTTTAATCATATTGGCCAGGCTGGTCTTGCACTCCTGACCTCAAGTGACCTGCAAACCTCAGCCTCCCAAAGTGCTGAGATTACAGGCATGAGCCACTGTGCCTGGCCTTATTTATTTTTTTTTTTTAATATATTTTAGAGACAGAGTCTCACTATGTTGCCCAGGCTGGTCTCAAACTCCTGAGCTCAAGTGATCTTCCCATCTAACCCTCCTGAGTAGCTGGGATTACTGGGCGAGTGCTCCTGCACCTGGCGAGACATAAATCTGTTCTTTATGAGTGACTGGGTCTTAAGTACTATGCTACAGGCAGCACAAATGCTCTAAGGCAGGGAAGGACCCCGATGCACTATGACCTAGCCCTGGCTTACATCAGGCTGCTGCTGCACCCTCCTCTCTAGGCCCCAGGGCCTCCTCCTCATGTGCCTGACACCCAGGGGCTATATACAGGGGTGCCCAATAAATGCATATTCCCTCCCTTCTGTCCACTCTTGGCCAAGGCTCAATATCTGGGCTTCCTTCCCGGTTACCTGCATCCTCAGGGAACCAGCCAAGCTGGGCCCAGATGGGCACTCCTGCCCTGTGTGTACCCTGGCACCATCCCGGAACAAGTCCTCTTGTCATCAAATGTTCCAGAATCCTCACACAGCCCATGCCAGAGTCCCCCTCAGTGGGCATCTCTGCACTCTTGTCTTTTTTTTTTTTTTTTTTTTTTGAGATGGAGTTTCACTCTTGTTACCCAGGCTGAAGTGCAGTGGCACGATCTCGGCTCACCGCAACCTCCGCCTCCTGGTTCAGGCAATTCTCCTGCCTCAGCCTCCTGAGTAGCTGGGATTACAGGCACGTGCCACCATGCCCAGCTGATTTTTTGTATTTTTAGTAGAGACGGGGTTTCACCATGTTGACCAGGATGGTCTCGATCTCTTGACCTCATGATCCACCCGCCTCGGCCTCCGAAAGTGCTGGGATTACAGGCATGAGCCACTGCGCCCGGCCTGCACTCTTGTCTTAATTCATTCTACTCATCAGGCCACATGAGGACGTGTCCGGGAGGACCATGCCCCCGAACCTTCGTTTCCCTCTCTTGCCCCCAGGTGACCTGTTGGAGAAGGGAGCTGGTTACCACTTTCATGCCCACCCTGAGAGGGGGCAGGCAGTCCGCTACATCAGCCCCCAGCTGGCCTTCCACAGCCAGGCCCCGGGCAGGGGTTAAAGCCCCAGCACAGCAGCCACGTGGCTGGGGCAAGGTCCCTGCACCGTCTCCTCTAAAAGGGACTGACTGCAGTGCTTCTTCCATGGGGAGGCTGGGGTGGACAGGAGCCACATCTCTATAGCCCTGGGCCCAGGTCCAGCACACAGTGGGTGCTGTGGTTGGCTCGGGCAGCAAGGGCCTGGAGATGTCCTGCAGACCAGACCAGAGATTGACTCTGAAGTCAGAGGAAGTGCCGATGGCCTTTTGATGTGAGCCAGGGACACAGGACACTGGGCAGCAGGTGTGTGGTGGGGGGCGGGGAGGGACCCATCCTGCCAGAGGGCCTGGGCAGGCAGTGTGGGAGAAGTGCAGTGAAGGCCTACTGTGTGCTCTGCTCACACTTAACTGGCCTTTCTCACCCAGGGCTCGTTTAGCATCATTTGCTCTTTCTCATGCCCCGGGTCCTTATGGGAATCTACAGCACCAGACAGGCCCCGTGTCCCCCAGGGAGGAATTATCTGCAGCTCAAGGTAGGGGACCACTGCCGCCTTAGCCAAGGCCCCTGGCTCTCGGGCAGGGAGGGCAGCGATGTCCCAGCCACCAGCTGGCAGGCCCTTTGCTTGTCTAGCCCAGAGTTCTTTTTTTTCCTTTTTCTTTTTTGAGACAGAGTTTCGCTCTTGTTGCCCAGGCTGGATATCAGCTCACCGCAACCTCTCCCTCGTGGATTCAAGCCATTCTCCTGCCTCACCCTCCTGAGTAGCTGGGATTACAGGCACTCACCACCACCCCCAGCTAATTTTTTGTATTTTTAGTAGAGACTGGGTCTCACCATGTTGGCCAGGCTGGTTTCTATCTGCTGACCCCAGATGATCCATCCTCCTCGGCCTCCCAAAGTGCTGGGATTACAGGCGTCAGCCACCGTGCCCTGCTGTCTTGTCCAGAGTCCTTTTGGTCTGTGGCCTGACTCCCCCTGGACATGCAGGGACCCCAAGGGGTGTGTCTCATTCATCTTGGTGCCCTGCCCTGGACCCGTGGAAGGAGCCTAGTCTGGGTGACATTGGGGCTCCTTTGCTGGCTTCCCGGGTTGGGGGTCTGCTGCAGCCAGGGAAATTCCTTCCCAAACGTTTATTAGGTTTCTGCTTGCACAGTAGCCTCCTCTTCCCCATCCCAGACCCAGCGTGGGAGGCAGGGTGGTCTCTTAGACTCTCTACCAGTCCCTCCCATGTCCAGTAAACCGCGCTGAGTACAGCATAGAGGCCACATGGTATGTGAGCCCAGCGCCCCAGTGAGTCAAGTGACTCCTCTGTGCCTGGGTTTTCGCCTCTGTACACTGGACATGATAGTACCTTGGAAAGTGCTGTGGGTAGTTACTGTGCTATGCCAGGGAAAGTGCTTAGAATGCAGACAGGCATAGTAAGCATTCAGCAAAGACTCCCCATCTAAATGTCTCTCTTAAAGCCCTCTCAGCTCACTGAGCTGTGCTATCTCTTATGGGTCAAGACACTGAGCTTGGAGGTGCCGGGGAGCCTCAGACCTGCAGGCAGATACATATTCACTGGGACCAGGACCTGGGGCAGACTAGCCTCAGGAGTGAGGGGGCCACAGGGCCGTCTCCAGCCTTTGGGGTGCCTGGCAGCCTTCTGGGTGCTCAGAGCAGACTGGAGTGTGAGTAAGCGCTTGGGCGAGAGAGCGGCAGACACCAACGGTCTTTATGCTATCAAAGAGGAAACTGGACTCATCATGCACCTAGCAGGTCAGCAGCCATTTCCGTCTGCCCAGGGCTGCCTTGGCTGTGAGACTGGGAGACCTTCCTTCAGATGTCCCTGTGACCTTGGCCCAGCCCAGCCCATCCCATCCACGTGATTATTGGTGAAGGGTGGTGAGGAAGGAGCCACAGGCTGCAACCAGCCCAGCCCTTCCCGGTGCCAGTTCTTCCTCTCTTCTAGCCTAATGGTGCCTTAGTGCTGGGAAAGGCTATAGGTCTGAAGGCTGGTGCAGTGGGAGTGGCTCACACCTGGAATCTCAGCACTTTGAGAGGCTAAGGCAAGCGGATGGTTTGAGCCCAGGAGTTCAAAACCAGCCTGGACGAAAACCTGTCTGACAAAAAATAAAAAATTGGCTGTGTGTGGTGGTGTGCGCCTATAGTCCCAGCTACTTGGGAGGCTGCGGTATGAGGATCACCTGAGCCTGGGGAGGTTAAGGCTGCGGTGAGCCGTGATTGTGCCGATGCACTCCAGCCTGAGTGACAGAGGGAGACCCTGTCTTAAAAAAAAGAAAGAAAAAGGTTCTAGGTCTGTGGACAGGGGCACGTGCATCCTCCTGCACAAGGGCATGCTCCTCCAGTGAGTGCCCGCACGATTCATCCCCATGGTAAAGCTGGTCCAGCAGAAACAGAGGGAGGTGAAGCTGTTTGCCCTAGCCAGCACGCGCCTAAGCCAGGATCCAAACTCCACCTGCCTGACACCAAAGTCTGGGCCTCTCAAACATTAAAATGTTGGGGAACAAGGCTTTTTATTTTGTCCCTAGAGCTGAGGTCTTTCTGAGCCTCCTGTCTGCAGGGCAGGTCCCATGGTACCCACACTGCAGATGGGAACACTTCAGGCAGAAGCTCAGGGCAACATGGAGAAGACAGTGTCAGGGATGGCTTTGGGGCCAGACATTCCTGGGTGCTGTAGACCTGGGATGGGAGAGGAATGTCCTGGGGGATAGGGGGTGGACACTGGGTTCCAAGTGCAGAGTGACAGAGGACTGGTTGTGTGGGAACAAGGTGTCCCTCTGCCTCTGGGTCAGTGACCACAAACCCACGGATTGCACCCTTTCTGTTCATTCTTCATAGAAAGGAGAGGCCACTAGGGCCAGAACCCAGGCTGGGCTCCCCCTAGTGCCGATGGGACCCAGGATGACACTGTCTCCTGCTGAGAAGTTTCTCCTGCAGGGCACTCAGAGCATCCCTCAGCATCTCAGGATGGGGCTCTTCCCACCTCCCCGCCCACTGCAGGGCCGACTGCAGGTGCGACCCGCCTGGGACCCACCCGGGCCACGAGGCCTCCCACCGCAAGACCCGTGGGCGGGGCCCAGGCGTGACGTCACGGCTCCGGGCCAATGAGGCCGCGCGGCCCGGAGGCCCCATTGCGCAACAAAGAGAACCCAGAACTTGAAAGGATTCCCCGGGCTCGGCCCCGGCTTCCGCCCCCACGCCAGTCTCCACCCGCGCTGCAGCCGATCTATTCCACCGGGCCCGGCCTGGCCGTCGCCCGGAGAGGGATGCGCAGCGCGAGGCCTTGACATCTCTGGCACGCCCCCCCCAGTCCCTGCCCTAATGGCCCCAACCCCCCGGGGCTCCAATCCAACCCCCGCAATCCCTGCTCCGCCCCGCGTGCTCTCGCCTGCTGGTCCCCAGTAGGTCCCCCGAGTCCTGCTCCAACCCGAGGGCGCGTTCGAGAGAGAGCCTGGGAAACCTGGCGGGATGCGGTCCCCGGACCCCTCGGGGTAGCGTCGAGCAGGGGCGGGCACCGGCTCCCTAGACCGCCCCGCCCCCGTCCCCTGAGAGCTCCCAGGGGCCGCGCCGCCAGGCTCCGATGCAGGGGAACGGAGGGAGGGGCTGGCTCCGGGGAAGTTACCCCGAAGGTCCCCAAGTTGGGGGGTGCCAGCGCTAAGCGGCGCTCGTGGACCCCTGGACGGACCCCACGACCGACAGCGCGCGGAAAGCCCCCTCCCTCCCCGCCGAGTCCTCCCCGCCGAGTCCTCCCGCCCGGGTCCTCCCTCCCGACCGCCCTCGGGCCAGGGCGGCGGCGCTCACCCTGCGTTCGGGCGCCCCGGGCTCCGACTCGCTGCTCCCGCCTCCGGCTGCGGTTCCCGCGCTCCCGGGCCGAGCGCGGGCCACCGAGGGCCGCGGGGGTGGCTGCCGGCGGAGCGGCCCGCGGGCCGGGGCATGCTGGCGGCGGCCACCCGCGGCCGGCGCGTCCCGCTCGGGGGGCTCAGCGCCGCCGCCCCTCCCTCCCCTGGGCGCCGCTGCCGCTTCGCTCCGCTCCCGCCGCTCCGCTGCTGCGCCGGGCGGCCGGGGGCGGGGGGCGGAGCAGGGCGCATGTCTCCGCCGGGGCCTCCGCGCCGCCCCTCGGCCCGCCCCGCCCCCGCTCGCTCCGAGGCGCGGCCGCCGCGGCCGTCTGTCGGTCTGTCTGTCCGTCCGTCAGTCAGCACACACCCGTGCCCCCACCTCCGCCCGCGGCCGGGCCGAGCCGCCCTGGACCGGTGGCGCCTCCCGACAGCGCCGCGCCCCTGGCTCCCAGCTGGGCTCGGTGCACACTCCTGACGCCGCCTCCAGCCGCCGGGGCAAGACCCAGGCCCGGAGCTCTGGGGACCCGCGGGCCGACGGAGCTGGGGCAGGAATGGACAGTGAGAACCTGGGGCCGGGGGTGGGGCTCAGGGAGGCCTTCCCGGCGGAAGCCGCATCCAAGAAGAACTCGGAGCGGGGCGTGGAGAGGACTTGAGACCCACGGCCAGCGGCTTCCAGGAACTGGGAATCCAGTGTGCAGCAGGGGCAGCGAGGGGCAAGGTTGGGCCAGTTACGGCTTCACTCTGCTCCCTGGGCCTGGGGGGGTCCACCGAGGGAATAAGTGCACGGGCCACCGGGTGGTCCCCCCCAACCCCCACGGGCTCAAAAATGTTCTCTCTGAAACTGAACACCACCGCCCAGCCCAGAGAGGCCAGGGTCTGCAGCCCAGCGCCTGAACCCCTCCCCTCCTCTCCTCACCTCCGTCCCGCCCGCCCCTCACTCCCTCCCAAGCCCTCCTGCCAGAACACCGGTTGTTGCCCATACACTGACAGCCTCAGCTGACTCCACGCGGAGGGGGGGAACCCTCCTGCCCCTTAATGGGGGCCCTGGAGAGGATTCCTCCTGAGGATCGTGCCTGTATCTTCTAGAAAACCCCTGACCACACATACAGTGGGCACAAGGCCTCCAGGGCTGCCTGGCATAGTGTCCTTCCATGCCTCTGGGGCGCATCCATGATTAAATGCCTCTGTGTCTGGAAAAAAGTGAGCACCTGACCAGAAGACCCAAACCAACTGCAGCCAGAACAGCTGCTTGGAGCTTGCCCAGCCCAGGCAGCGCTGCCCACGGCACTCCACAGTCTGCACCTGCCCAAATCGTCCTCACAGCCCAGGTCGCTGAGCAGCTTTTAGGGGACCCAGGATGGGCCTTAGGGTCCATCCCAAGAGGTAAAAGAAGTGTTTGTAGAGAAAGACCCCACAGTAACGTGTGGGGCTGGGCAAGGGGGAACCCGATCCGTGCACACTTACACTCCCTGCGGTTTTTGGAGCAGCCAAGGCCCTTAGTGCCCCTGGTGAGCCCTCTGTGGACAGGCTGGAACCCCCTCCAGGTGGCCCTGGTTATAAATAGGCACCAGCAGTGGGAGGCTGGCACAGGGCAGCTGTAATCAAGGGTGGTGTTTCTAAGCATCTCGCCTGTGACTCGAGGTGAAATGGTAGAAATGCCACGTTTAATTACATGGCCACCGAGAACCATGCTGCTTAGAATCACCACACTTGAGACTGCACACACAGCCATGGAGAGCCACGCCACTTTCTGGGCCTGGCTCCCCTCTCCCAGCCCAGCTCACCTACTGCTGCCTGCACCAGTGCCTCTGCCCAGCCTCAGCTGGCTCTGGGGCAGGTGGGAGATGGTCTCTGATGGCTGCCCAGCTTATTCCATGCTGTGCTGAGATCTGGTGCAAAGTGCCTGGTGCCCCTGGGAGGCAGTTTTTAGGTGCCTGGTTTGCCCAAATCCACATGGATGAGTGGCTGAGCCTTGACTGAACTAGGGAGTCTGATTTGGGGCCCACCTTCATGTGAAGGATGTGGGTGCTTTGGAGACCCGGTCCCCTCAGTGAACCTCTGGGCTCAGGTACTGCTGCGGCCAGCCCTTGGCCTTCTGCTTGCCCAGAAGGGTAGCCGCCTCATCGCTCTGATCCCAGGGCACCACTCTGGCATGGGTCATGGGTGGAGCAGAGTGAGGTGGCCAAAGCTTCATGTGACTGAGTTTGCCCCCCCACCCCAATCCCCTCCCAGGCAGGAAATAATCCCGTCAGCCATGACTGGGGCCCGGGACAGACTCCCAAGCTCTTGGCTGGTGTTTCTGCACATCTGGAGCCGAGCCCTCTCTCTCTCCAGGCGCGGGGGGAGCCTGTGCGAGGCTGCAGCTGCTGACGGGCCAGCCTTCTCCAGGCTGCGGGACAGATGTTGGGGCTTCAGGGACAGACTAAGTCAGGAACATTCTCCCAGATGCCACCTCTGGGTGTGCTTCGTTGGAGCCATGAATGCAGGTGGGGTCCTGGCCCCTGTAGTGGCCTTGGCCAGGCCAGATTCACAGATAAACCCTGCTACAGACACCCTCACGACACACGTGCTCAGGTATGCAGGGACAGATGCACTCACATAGTAGATACATTGGTGACACGTATGCACATAGCTTCACACCAACAGCACCGACACACTTTCATGCTGCCCCTCAGACCCCTGCCCCATAAGCCATCCCCATGGCCTCCTGCCTGGGTAGCTGAGGGAGTTTGTACATCAGGCACAAGGTCCTGGCGCCAGCTGGGGGGGCTCCTACAGACAGAAGGTTGGGGTATCTGGGCAGTTTCTACCAAGCGGCTGGGTCAGGGTGGGGCTCCCACAGGCTGAGCCAGGCCACATTCGCCTCTTCACACCATCACCTCTCTGAGTCTTTACGAGGAGCCCTGCCCCGTCCGTGGGAAAGCCACACAGGCTCAGAGCCGGCGTACTATGCAAGCCAGACCGTGGGGTCGTGGGGTGCTGGTACTCCCACCACACAGCGTGGCCCTGAGTCCACATCCTCCCAGCATCTGAGCTGCCTATGAGGTCCACGGAGCCGAAGTGTCTGTGGCCAGGACACCAAACCAGGGGCCCACGGGAAATGGCCATTCACAGCCAGCAAATCACCAGCCGGACACCAATTGGTGTGGCTGTGCCTGAGGTTCTGGGGTCTACGCAGGCGCTGGTGCTGGGAGGGCCGAGACTGTCCTCGGGAACCCCCACATCCCATACCCCCTGGGAAAGCAGCTCCCCCCAGGACAAATGACCACCCAGGACTCGTGGGTCCAGCCAAGCAGCAGCTTTATTAGTGGCGCTGGGTTCTCCCCATACCTTACAGTGTGCTTGGAAGCATTCCCGAGGGTTTCCATGGAATGCCTCCCGGCGCTCAGGACAACACTGTAGCATCAACACTGGGATGATATAAATAAAGCTTTGGTGTGTAGGTTTGCAGGAGAGAGTACAGGTTAACACTGTGATACGAAAACTTCAGACAACACCAGCTCTCAATGTGAATTGGGTTTCTGGCCAAGGGGGTAACTTCTAAGTGACTGGACACTGGGCCTGTTGCTATGGCTACTGGGGGCCCCGGCAGCGGGAGGAGGGTGTCTAGGGCTGGGGCTCCGCGTGGCCCTGTCGCTTCGCCTTCATCTGCAGGTACCGCCCTTTGCCTTCCTCAAAGCGCTTCTTCTCGTCCTCGGTCTCGGGCTGTGGACCACACACAGAGACAGGCAGGTTAGGGTCACTGCAGAACCAGTGCCGTGGCCTTGTGACCTGGCCTGGGCCCCTGCCCCCACCCGTGGCTCTGCCCCACCCCAGAAGAGTGCAGAGTACCTCGACTCAGCTCCTCTGGCCTCCTGGGACTGCCGGGTGCCAGGCATGGGTCTCATGTCCCACCTTGGCTGTTGGGCCCGTTGACTGGGCTATGTTTAGCCAAGAAGCTTTGAGGGGCTGCAGGAGCCACGGGTGGAAGAGCTCCACGGAGGGGACCCTGAGGGCATGGCGGCTCAGAAGCAGTCAGTGGAACTGCTGAGCCCTGTGACACCCTTACACCCCCTTTCACAACAGGTGTAACTCCAACCCCAGGGCCTGTTTGCAACTGAACTTCGGTGAAAATGCACTTGATAATGAAACATGGGAGCTGAGTGTGACTAGAGAGGAAGGGAGAGGGACCGTGCGTTTGCTGCACTCCCAGGGAAAACCAGCTGCACATGGTCACGGTCCCTAAAAGAATTGGGCAGACGCTGCACTGCCTGTGACCTCGAAAAGTACTGACCCTGTACTGGGAGCAACAGGCCTGCTTTGTGGGGAGGGAGCCCTGTCACCACACTCTGGACCCCAGGGTCCCCTTCTCATTGCCCTGGGGGCAGAGCCAACGGAACAGTTGGTCCAAGACTGGGTTCTGCCCAGGACAGTCCTGGTTTGTGTCTGTTGGCCTGCTATGATTATGAACGGCACCCCCTTTCACTCTAAGCCTTGTGCCTGGGCAGGTGCCACCCCTGGAGTATGAGGTGGTCACTTCTGAGGTCCTATCTATCCCATCTCCACATTCTGTCCAGCCCCTCCCCGGCCAGGAATTCAGGTTTAATGAGCTGTGCTAATTCCTCTGGGACATTTCATTGCAACATTTTGAGGGTGTCTGAAAGCCAAAGAAATGGGGCAGCTGCCCTTCATTTCATCCACAATGACACCAAACTGTACAGCTATTTTTGGGCCTAAGTGTTTTATAGACAAATGGTACATTGGCAAGAGAGAGCAGTCGGCCAGAGGATGTAATGTCAAGTTACACCAAATGCCTCCTCCCCTCTGCGCTCTCCAAAATCGGTCTCTAAATGTCACCAGGTGTAAACTGTCAAAACTTCCCCAGCCTGGAGCCAATGGAATCTTCGGGTATTTAAAGAAATAGGTGGCCCTCCTTGCAGCGGTCCTGGTTCCCCTTTGAAGAGTCTTCAGTGTACACAGGAAAACGGGTGGCTTTTCCAAGATACCGTATTGAAGAAGTCCCTCCCGCTGCTACGGTTTGATCTCTGGCTGACTTTTAAAAATAAAATTTGAGGCTATGCAATTTGACCTGAAACAGCCCAGGGAAAATGACATGTTCTTTTTCAGTTTTAGCTGCAGTTCTAAGTGGGCAAGACCCCTGAGCTTCCTGGGGGCTGGAGGGCACAGAGTCCAGCCCCTGCAGGTGATACACAAGGCCCCCTGAAGACACGGTTACATCCTGCTGGGCACAGCTAAAGACTTTTGTGCACACTGAGGCAGAAGGTGCTAGATGAGGGCTTCTTGAACTTGTAAGTGCATCTGAATCTGCTGGTCTAGTAAATGCAGATTCGGATCCAGAGGGTCTGAGAGCTGAGGCTCACTTCTAACAGAATCCCAGGTGACATGACGCTGTGGCCTGAGGACACCTGTGTAGTAGGGCCCTGCCCCAAATGGGGGCATGTGAAGTGGCCAAGAATGCAAGGTCAAACCCACCAGGCAGGAATGCAGGGGCCTTGTCCTCCCCTTCCCCTATGGAACTGCTTGGTGATGTGGAGGAAGCCTGTAGCTCCTGTCCACCTGCAGCAGCCAAAGCCAAGGCCCAGCAGAGAGTGGCACCTACAGCCTGGCTTCCTGCCTACTCCGAAGACCCTGTATCAGGCAGAGCAAGCGCTGTGGGGTGGGCTTGGGGTCCCAGAGCTGGGAAACAAGGTAACAGGGCCTGTTGGGGTTGCCACTGGGCTCTGCTGGCTTTGGAGTGGCTATGGCAGCCTTGGGTGACATGAGGGTTGGGAGCAGGAGAGCCGGGGACAGGCAGGCTGGACCGCACCCAGGCACCTCCCAGTCTGAAAGCCTGGCCCCTTCGCTGGGGTCCTCCCTCTAGCTGGTGGAGAATCTGCCCTCCACAGAGAGGAAAGACGACAAGGGCTTGGACCGAAAAATAATCCTTTAAAGCGGGAGAGAATGAGCCTGGCCCAGCAAAGGCAGCCGTAGCAAGAAGAGATACAGCTGGAGCCCAGGCCCAGCTCGCAGGAGCCAGGTCCGGCCGGACGAGAGACTTCCTGGGAACGTGCAGACGTGGGAGACTGCCAAGAACCTCAGTCCCCAAGCGCCTGAGTCCTCAGGCAAGTGCTCTCAGGGACCAGAGGGTCAGGAGGCTGGGGGACCAGTGGCGGCTACAGGGTGGTGATTCTTTTTGGGGTGATAGAATGTTCTGAAATAAACTGTGATGGGGAATGTCCACCTCTGTGAAAACCTGCTGAATGGTATTCTGTAAGTGGGTGAACAGAACGGCAGGTAATTCCGTCTTCGTAAAGCTGCTGCATGGCGAAAGCTCCACAGGTGAGAGCTCTTGGTGCTGGGGGAGCGGTCAGGGCTGCTGACACGGGATTGGCCCGAGCTTATAACGACGCAGGCATTCTTTCTTCTCTTTACTTTTGCATATATTTGACCTTTTCTATAATTAAAAAGCTACAAAAGAAGAAAACTAACTAGACTTAGATAGAGGAAGACCAACCCCTTCTTTCTTCCTCAGGCACAAATGATCTCCAGGCCCCGAAGAGATGGGGCCCTGGCTTTACAAGCGGGGGGCTGCAGGCAGAGCTGCGGGAGGCGTCCAGGGCCGCCCACAGGCGCGATTTTTACCACTCCCCGCCAAGAGGTGCTGAGCGCTAACTCAGGACAATGCTCGAAACATTCCAGTCCCATTCATAGGTATGTGCCAGGCCCCACGCATGCGACGTGGCCCGGATGGCAGGGAGATCTGCACCCAAGAGCCAAGAACCTCCAGGGCTTCAGACAGCCCAGCCCTCACCTCTGCCAGCCACACCCAGCAGTGGAGACCTCGAGCCCCCTAACAGTCTGGCCTTCTGGGAGTGGAATCCGTGTCACTTCCCACCGTTCTCAGCATCTTTACCAGAGCTCACATCCCTCCAGCCCCCGAGGATGCAGGAGGACCACCCAACTCTGGGCCTGCAGAGGCACTGCAGACAAGAGCCCTCCCCTCCCACCTCTTCGCCCTATATGGACTGTGCACGTGGGCCCAGGACTGAGCGATAAGGGGATATGCTCTGCGAAACCCCTGCTTGGGGTGCGGCCAGCTGTGTACATCAGTCTTCCTGACAACCCCACCCAGCAGCACAGAGCCGATTATTGTTCCAGTTTTTTTTTTTTTTTTTTTTTTTTTTTTTGAGGCGGAGTTTCGCTCTTGTTACCCAGGCCGGAGTGCAATGGCGCGATCTCGGCTCACCGCAATCTCCGCCTCCTGGGTTCAGGCAATTCTCCTGCCTCAGCCTCCTGAGTAGCTGGGATTACAGGCACGCACCACCATGCCCAGCTAATTTTTTGTATTTTTAGTAGAGACGGGGTTTCACCATGTTGACTGGGATGGTCTCGATCTCTTGACCTCGTGATCCACCCGCCTCGGCCTCCCAAAGTGCTGGGATTACAGGCTGAGCCACCGCGCCCAGCCTTTTTTTTTTTTTTTTTTTTTTTTTTTTTTTTTTAATGAGACGGAGTTTCGCTCTTGTTACCCAGGCTGGAGTGCAATGGCGCGATCTCGGCTCACCGCAACCTCCGCCTCCTGGGTTCAGGCAATTCTCCTGCCTCAGCCTCCTGAGTAGCTGGGATTACAGGCACGTGCCACCATGCCCAGCTAATTTTTTGTATTTTTGGTAGAGACGGGGTTTCACCATGTTGACCAGGATGGTCTCGATCTCTTGACCTCGTGATCCACCCGCCTCGGCCTCCCAAAGTGCTGGGATTACAGGCTTGAGCCACCGCGCCCGGCCCGATTGTTCCAGTTTTACCAGTGAGGAAGTGAAGCACAGAGAGGCTGAGTAACTTGCCCAAAATGACAAAGCAGGTAAGGGCAGAGCCTCCATTTAAACCTGGGCTCGGAGGCTGCTCTCCAGGACATCCTATGCTGAGCGGCCTTAGGGGTGGGACTCATCAGTGGGGAGGAAGGCAATGGACTTGTAGAGTCTCCACGGTGAACCAGGATGGGGGGCCCTCCTGTCTCCCCTCACCTGACCCTGGCCCTCAGTGCAGCCCAGGAGCGCTTGCTGAGTTTGGCCTCCGCCAGGCGGGGCCCTGCCCTGCCCTGCCCTTAGCCATATCACCCCAAAACACTGCAGCCGCTGCCACCCCAGCGGCCACCAGGCCACAGAGCGTTCCCAAAGCTACACATCCAAGGCTGTGTCTGCTGCTCTCTCGAGGTCACCTCATGAGCAGCCTGAGGCAGGCATGAGCCCAGGTGCAGGCCATTCTTGGGGTCGGCTTCAGGCAGAGGGAGAAGCCGGTGCCCAGCAGTGGGCCCCAGGGCTGCTCGATGTGGCCCTGCTGTTTAATATTTGCAGCACTCATCGGCCAGCCTCTGCCCTCAGACAAAGCGAAGGCTGTCTGATGATGGATGGATGTGCAGGAGGGCCTGCATGGGCCCCACCGCTCTTCCCCTGCCTCTGGGGATGGTGGTATGTGCTGGATGTTCCGGGCTCTGAGAGTCCAGACTAGCCCAGGAGCCTCAGCGTTACTGCATGAAGCACCCACCCATGAGCACTGCCCTCCCAAGGCAAGGATGGCCTTCCTCCCTGAGTGTCCAGGGTCGTCCTTTCAGGGTGGAAGTTTATGAAGACGGCAGTCAAAGGCAGGGACGTAACAGGCGCGTGTAGACCAAGGCTCACCACCCACTGGGAGGTGAAGCAGAGCAGAGGGAGGCAGGGTGGTATCTG